CAATCTACCTATTCAGTTGATCCTACTGACTAACAGAGGGATCCACAACGCTCGTTTGGTCCTATTTGGGACTCGTCATCTGGACGTACCTGCACCCCAGTGTGGAGCGATGTTGTTCCCGCCGGGGCTCGAACCAAGTGCCCTTTGCTTCAAATGCCAGAGCGTTATCCACTAAGCGACTGGAACACGATAGCCGCCTCTTGTGGAACGAGTATAAGTTGCTTTTCTGATATTTGTAATTTCCTGTTGCTATACAGGGCTGAATCGCTATCGTGCCTGAGTGGTCTAATGGATGACGTTCTGGCGTTTGAAGCGATTGGTACTGGGTCCGAGCCTCACTAGGATGCAGGTACATCCAGTTGACGAGTCCCAACTGGGACGAGATGCGTGCTCTGGATTTTTCTGTTAGTGACCAAGATCAATGTAAATGATGAATGATCGGGAGTAATGAGGCACCCTCATAAGAGCCCATCTGTCAACAGAGGTCGGGAATTTCGTCCCTGTATAGCAACGGGAAAGATTTTAATGCTTTAGACAAAATGATATTTTCACTATACGTTACTTCGTTGTTCGCGAGTGTGCCACTCACGGAGACTGCCTGCAATATGTATGACTATATTGATGCACATAATTTAGACATAGGACTACCAACCGGCTGCTTGAAAGAGCTTTTGTCGAGGTGCACATTTATTACCTAATTTAGTTTCATTAATGAAATCTATAGACAGAGAGATGGAATCGCGATGGGGTCACCATTGGGACCATTGTTAGCAAACGTTTTGATGTCGAAACTGGAGAATTCTCAACTTTATCACACTCTTAATAACTTTGAATTTTAAAGAAGATAAATGTACGACACGTTTGTTACTTGTGACAAAAATGTTGGTCTGGACGGTGTTCTTCGTTCAGTTAATGAATGTCATCAAACCCTCAAGTTTACCATAGAGAATGAATAAGAACTAACTATTCCTTTTCTTGATGTGCTTCTCACCCGACGTCTGAATGGATACCTCAAAAGATCTATGTGTAGAAAAGCAACATGGAACGGACAACTAACTAATTTTTGTAGTTGGGTGGCTGTCAACAGAGAAAGAAGTCTTATTCATTCTCTCTCTCTCTCTGTCTCTCTCAAACACACACCGTTATCGAATCAGAAATATCTGTAGTGATGAAGAGCTATCTTTTTTAGAAAGCACACTTATCGGAAACGGTTACCCTAGCCGTTTTATTGATAAAAATATGCGGGAAAGAAACACTAAACTGGTCATTTACTCTGTCTGAAATAAAATATTGTTGCTGAGTCTAAAATTTAAAGGTGACCAAGCATCAGATGTACTCAAGAATCATGTATGTGCATCAATCAATAGAACTTTCTTCGCAGTAAGACTTCATTTGAATTTTCACAACCGTAAACTATTGTCAATTTGTGTTAAAGATAAACTTCCTCGTTTGGCCACCTCTGTGTGCATCTACCAGTTCACCTGCTGTTGTGGAGCAAGGTACATTGGCCGTAGCCAGAGAATACTTCCTACATGTATACGAGAACATGTTCCTGCTTGGTTTTATAAAGGTGAAAGAAAGTCTGTTAGAAATTCGATTCTAGAACATTTGATTGATTTCCATCACTCAACAAACCCAGACAATGACTTTAAAATTATTTATCGAATTCGTCCAAACCTCCTACGTTTTCTTGGTTTTCAACTGCTTAAAACAGCGGAGGCTTTAGCTATTCATGAACTAAAGTCTGATGTATGTGTACAAGAGAAGTATGTGCAACGACTGTTTTTATGATGGCCATAACATTTCCCCATCCGTATTAGGTAGCTTCCCCCCCCTTCCCCCTTTGTCAATTTAACATTTGTATCCTTGGTTTATGACTGTTATTGTTATCATAATTGCCTTCAGTTTGATTAGTTTGTGGTGTTATTCAGTTAGTTGTCCTAATCTTTTCGGAAAACATTGATTTCATCTTGACCAACTTGTTCAGTCCTATTGCATAATACTTAATTGATTTACCAATTTCATCAGTTTTTCCACCGCCTTCTGTGAACCATTTCATGTGTTACAATTTTGGATGTATGTCTTATCATGATTTCGTGTAAGCAGTAATATCGTGTTGCACAAATACTAACAAATAAGATAGATATACTTCCAACCATATGTATATTAATGTTACATTCAGGATTTCATTGAATTAAGTATCCCTTATTTTTATGATACTTGTAATTTTCTGTTGCTATACAAACCTGGATTAGTCAACCTCTGTTGACAGATGGGCTCTTATACTGATGCCTCGACTTTGCTGAATATTTTTAATAATAATAATAATAATAGCCTTACTCCAAACTATTGTTTGTAGTATGATAGTATGGAATTATTAGCATGTAATTTTTCAACAAATTCACTCTCAGAACAATACTTTCAGACGAAATGGTTATCACATCGGAATAATGTTTATAATAACAGTATTCAAGGCAATAATGTTCTGGATAGGTATCCAGTCTATAACAAGGAATCAATAGAAATGTAAGCATAATTTTGGTGATGGCGGTTCATTCAGACGGTACAAATATCTGCAACTCAAGCTAAGCATCTGACGAATATAAATATCATATACTTTTTTGCATCGAAAAATCCATTTCCATATAACGTAACATTTTTTCTATGCTTTGTTATTGATTCGAGAAATGGGTAGTTAGAAACAGTTTAAAAATGTGCAAGATCGCATGATACATTCAAAGGACATATTTAAGTGATTAAAACAAATTGAAAGGAAAGAATTTAATGAAAAATGTTCAATGGATAAATTTGGTGATCTAAGGTTCAAGCAGGTCGTTGTCATGATGTTATATTGATCTTGGTGAATATTAGAGGTGGTTATCGTACCCCAATGGTTTAGTGAGCAACGCTTAGGTGTTTGAAGTGATAGGTATTGGTTTCGAACTTCATTGGGAATAATATCACTCCGGACTGGAATGCAGGTTCCAAATAGGACGGAAAACGCATCCTGGATTCTTCTGCTAGTCACCAAGATCAATATAAATGTCTCTAAATCTATTTTTGTCTTTTCAAATGCTTTCTTCAGTTTCTCAATTTGGATTAAATTAGGTAAATTGTTAAGGGCTAATGTAAATTAACGATTCTTTAGGAGGTGGAGTTAGTTGTTGATATGTTATCGTTTTCACAAGCATTTCAACGTTCTGTATTACATTAATTTATTCAATATAGAATACAATGATACAGTATTATTTATTGAGTAATATCTTGAGTACACTTTATTTCTTGCAATCAAATCAAGGTGAACTTGTCAACTAAGCCTTAAAACAGGAAGATAGTATGTTTCATTAATGTATGTATATGACTATGAGATGTAAATTGCAATCGAAACGTCATCCAGCAAATGCTACTATGTCATTTGGTGTTATATCAATTAGACTATTATATAATATGGAATGATATTCCACCACAGTACCCAAATTCTTGACTTGCACTACCTGAATATTCGTTCACTTAAATTCTTAACAGTTGACATAACTTTAATCTCCTGTTGTTGATTGAAGCGAATTGATCGTACCCTGTCGGCATATGTTATCGTATGTAATAGCATAAAAAGCTATACCCGCTGCATAAAGAGCGGTCATTGTAGCTCAGTGGCCTAGGGGATAATACCTCGGGGTTTGAAGCTATCGTTCCTAGGTTCGAGTCCGGGTTGGAACAATATCACTCACTGGGGTAAAGTTACGTCCAACTAACGAATCTGAAACGGGACGAAACTAACATATCTTTTACTTTTATTACGATCCAGTATGATTGTAAACTTCTTTATCTCTTCCTGTTTGTCTGTTTCATTCATGTCTGCATGCACCAATTGTTACTGTCCTGGTTCTACTTGTTTTTTCAAACTCACTATTCACTGTTTTGTGGTCTAGATATAATCCTAACTAGGCCTTGATTTTTAATGTCTCTAGAAGAGATAAACTATTTACAGCAACACAGTAGATGGATTTTTTGTAAGTTTATTCGTCTGCATACCTTTCTTTATTAACTCTGGTAATTCCCGGTCATATAATAATTGATTGTCTGTCTGTTTCCCATAACTCCATAACATAACTTAGCATCATGAGAATAAAACCCATTATTCATGTGTTGCTTTAGGAATCTTTTCTCTACTTGTTCATACTTCGCTTTCTGTTAACTTTATGTATATACTTTACTTCATTGGTAAAGATTGACTTTAAACGATATCTTAGCAACTGCTGAAATAATCAACTAGCCTTCTCTATTTATGAAAAACTACTTTTCTAGCCGGAATACCGTAACTTGATTGGTTATGTCAGCTGTTACTAGGGTGGCGTTTAAGCTCGGCCTTGGTAAATGTGAAGCTGTAGTTCAGTGGTGATGACTGGCTATCAGTGGGTCGCTGGTTCGAACCCCACTCCACCTACAAAGGTTTGGGCAGTCAGGTAGTTGTATCACTAACCTTCACATAATAAATGTGGCTCATTGCCTGATGCACAGATATATATATATATATATATATATATATATATATATATATATATATAATTGAATTTTTCTAGAACAGACGGAGAAATACGCTCCCTAGATAAATTGTTGTAACAGGTGGAAAAGTTACAAAAAAATAGTTAAAAAGGTATTACTTTTTCTCCTTTTAGAAGAAATCAATACACATGTGTAATGCACGCATCATTATAAAGTGTGTTTTCATGCCTAAAAATGTTATATTTTTTAAAATAAAAATCTTGGATTATTCTTATTGATAAAATTGTAGCCGAAAGAAAGATAGTAATTCTTGTTATTTCTCCTAAGTAACAACAATATTTCAAATTTACCTCCTATTTGTTTGCAGGCAAATTCAAACAAATCCTAGGTACGATTTATTGAACATGTATATAAATATATACATGTAGGTAAACACTGATTTGGTTTTGTGATACACGCCTTTCATTATATTTAGTTTTAAAAAAATTGTTTTATAGGAACGTGAAGCGATTGTGGAAACATATGGTCCAGCTGTTACAGGTGGAGCTTTCGATACATCTGGTACACCATTCAGTTTTCATGCCGGTGAAGGATTTGAAGAGGGTCGCTTTGAAAACGATTGGATAGTTAATCGGTGCCGACAACAATGGGATGAGGTAAGCTGGAATACTTTTGTTTCTCTCTCTCTCTCTCTCTCTTTGTGAAGATATCGATTTTATAATCTTTTAAAGCCAGATGAACACAACAACTTAGAACTTTGGATAATTGCTCATCGATTCAAACTGCATAGCTTTACAACAGAACATAAGAGGAGAGATTAGAGTTAGAAAGCGGAACATTAACAGAAAAAGAATGAGGTATTCAAACTTTGTGAGGCGATAAAGAAAATATGCATCTAAATCATTTGATTTTAAACGTCGTTCTAAGCTTTAGTCTACTTGTTGGCTAGCAATGGTATTCAGGAGGCGCGTTTCGTCCTACTTTGGACTCCCCAGCTGGATATATCTTCATCTCAGTGAGTGACGTTCCTACTGAGACTCGAGCCTCTTACCTATCTTTTCAAACTCCAAAGCGTTATCCACTAGGCCCCTGTGGTATACAGCCACTTGTGCAAGGGGCACGTGTAATTTCCCATTGCTATCCGTTCAATCCTGCATTAAAAATATCGTGGCGACATATGGATGACACATTAACTGTGTTGAAATCAGAACATATCGACAATTTCTTCACACATATAAACTCAGAAGTATCCGGTATCCAGTTCACTAGGAGAATTACCTATGTTGAATTAAAGGATAAAATGAAGGACAGGCGGCGGTTTGGATAATACCATTTACGATGCCGCCTGCCTAGGCAGGCAGATGAAAGAGACAACTTGATTTACGTTTCTCTCGTTGATGGTGATTCGTGCTTGTTGTTGTTGATCGGTTGGGTATCTTCATCACCTCTGTCTTGTCTACGTTCACCTGAAGGAAGTCCTGTCTTCGCTGCCCTACCTCTTCTATCAACTTGTCAGTTTTCGCCTGTACATCTCCGAGTTTGTGCGACAAGACATTAGATATAAATCATCATCGGCAAAATCCAAATGTTCTGGGCTCTCTTCATCCGTCAAACAACATATGCCCATCTTCTCACCCCTCACAGTCTCTTGCATGATCCAGTCGACCACAATCAGGAAGATCATCGGTGGTAGTAGACGGTAACCTTGTCTTACTCAGTCCTCTCTTCACTTCAAAGACATCATTGATCTTTCCATTGTGAATCGCTTGGCATTTACCATCATATAGCCGTTGAATGAGGTTGATAAAGGTTTGTGGTACTCTGTAGTGTTGAAGCAACTGCCAAATTACTTCTCAGTCGATGCTGTCGAAGGCCTTTTCTAAATCGATGAAGTCGAGGTAGCGAGTTGACTGTCGTTCTATGCTGTGTTCTATGATGATGAATAGCATGGCGTTGCAATTTGATGCGCACATGATTTCTTCTTCGTGAATCCATCCATCCTGTTCAGGTCGTAATTTTGAGTCCAGCGCATCCTTTAGTCTCTCCAGGATGATGCGGCATAATATTTTGCTTAGGGTGGATGGCAGCATGATTCATCACCAGTTCTTACAAAGGCTTAGGTCTCTCTTCTTTGGGAGTTTGACATGGTAGCCCTTCTTCCAATCTTCAGGTACCTTTCCTTCGTTCCTTGCAAACCTTCTGCAATAGTGGTGTGAGCATGTCCGCTGTTGTCTCTGCGTTTGTTTTCAGTGCTTCTGGCGGAATTCCATCTGGTCTTGCTGCAACTTTATGGCATTCAGGACTTCTGCTTTTGCCGGAGGGCTTATGCTCACTTGTAGTTCTGTGGCTGAGCTGCTGGTGGTATTTCTAGACGAGTTGCAGTTGGTGGTCTTGGTAGTGGTGGTCTTTTTAAAAGTTTTTTGAAGTGATCAGCCCATCATTTCGTTTGTTCCACCCCTTTTGAAACCAGGTTCCCCTCACTATCCTTCATTGTTTTCACCTGCGTTGATCTCTTCCTTCCCAAATAGTAGCCTGGTTATTTGATATAGTGTTGTCAGGTCTCTCTCTTACTACTGTTCTACTTCATTTGCCGATGTGTCATGGAATTGTCTTTGGGCGCACTCTTCTTCACTTCTTTGTCCGGTATAGTGTTTTATAGGTTGTGTTCAGTTCCTCTTCTCGTTGTTCATCCCTGCACTGCACTAGTTCATCTTCTGCTTCACCATCTTCCTCTCCCTCCTCTATCAGCTTCCATGTATCTGTCGAGATCCACTGCTTGTCCTGCCACTTCTTCTTCCTTCCTAACACGGTTATGCAGGTTTCTTCCCATATCTCTTTTAAGGAGTTCCAGTGTCTTTCCACGCAGGTTTTCTCGGGGATGTTGCCTAATGTTTCCTATTTTTTCCTGATGACTGGCTGATGTGAAGGTGTCCTTTGAAGTTTCGTCCTTCAGTTTCTGTTCTGAGTATTCAACTTGAACTGTGTTCTACCACCAACTTCTTTGAAGGCTTTCAACTTGATTTGGAAGGTTCCTTGCACTAGACAGTGAGTGGTGTGAACCTACATCTCTTCACACTGAGATGAAGTCGATGTGATTTTTAGTGTGTCTGTTGAAATCAAATCCATGTCGCTTTCTGAATATCCTTGTGTTTGTACACACTGCCTTCAATCACCAAATCGTTGAATGCGCAAAATTCTGCTAACAGTTCTTTATTGTCGTTCATTTCATCGAGTGCTTTTAGATTATGATTGGTTCTCTTCCTGTGTTGTCTGCTCCCAGTTTGGCATTGATGTCGCCCTACCCTTTAGAATTTTGATGTCGCCACCTGGAACGGGGTCTTGTCCATTACTGATTGCAGTTGTCTGTAGAATTCATCCTTCTTCTCTTCATCTGCATTATTTGTTGGTGCTTAGCGTAGTATTGAATGATTATGATTTTCTTTCCTTTTGAGTTGAATCTTGTTGTCATGATGCTGATCCTGTAGGAGGAGATTGGTTCCCACTGCATGAGAGCCTTCGATGTTCTTGGAGACATCATGATAGCCACTGAAAAACTCAGTGTGCTCATGGTTGTCGTCTGGGTGACAATATCGGATTAGATTATTGACTCTCCAGTTAAGAGTTTAGAGAGTTCACTTGCATTCCATCTGCTTTCACAGATTCGTAGCACTTCCAAGCCATACCTCGTCATCTCTTTTCCAATTTGGGCAACCTTGGTAGGTTCATACATAGTGCGGACATTTCCGGTCCCCATCCTTACTTTCGCTTTCATCGAGGGAGAGAAGACACATCGGCCAATTGGCTTCCCAAAGGCTTTCACCAACTGATGTCATGTCATTTCGTCCCTCCGATTCCAGCGAGGAATAAGTTTGTTTTTATGTTTTTTATTTTCTTCATGTCTTGAAGTTTCTTTAGCAGTTGGATTGGTTTTAGGGGGCAGGGTTGCTAGCCCTATGCCCAACCTTCCCTCTTTATCCGGGATTAGGACTGGCTAGTAACTAGTGAATTAGTTAACTAGGTGAGGCTCACTTATCGGGTTAAGGTTGATCAAATTGCCGATATCAAAAATTGAAGATTCCAGTTGATAAGTTTAAAAACCAATTACAATGATGCAGATGAATAATACAGGACCCTTTGTATCATTGTACATCAAAAAAGAAAGAATGAAGATGAAACAGGTAGTAAAGTTTATAACACATCAGAAGGTGTAAAAAAAAACTTTAAAATAGTAAAATGTGATGAAGGTAAAAGAGAAGAAATTTCCAAGATGTTCATTACAGTTCAAGTATGAATTTCTCTGTAGCACTATGATCTGAAGTCCCTCACAGATAAATTCGCATCTTTATCGTTTTCTACTTTAGCGTGTTTAAACTATATTTTATCCTTTTATCAATATTTATCAACGCGCTGGCCGCGGAACCTGAAGGTCGCGGGTTCGATCCCTGCTGGTGTGGGGTCGTGGGTGCGCACTGCTGAGGAGTCCCATACTAAGACGAAACAGCTCTCCAGTGCTCCCAGGTTTCCTTTGTTCCTCCAACTGATGTCAGTCTTCGATGAATAACAACTTGAAATATTACCTTATTTTGTTTATATGATAGTGGGATTATGTAAACTGGTAGTTGATGATACCAGCAATACATCTAAATTTCTTAATTTAATTACCGCCTTCATTATAAATTGTTTCAATCATTCACCTGATAATAATATTTTTTTTTGTTATTCATCATCTATAAACTGAAATTTTTATATCTTAAGTAAATAAATGACAAATCTGTTTTCTATCATATTAGAAGAAAAGTAGATTTAATGATTAGGTATACTGCCTAATCTGGAATGTTGACAACTAGTTAACTTGTCATAACGAAACTCAATAAAGACATTCAACGAAATTACTAATGAACTAATATTATTTATCTGCTGATTCCTATCTATATCAGCGAATAAACTTATCTTTCATAGTCTTCATCAGTAGTAGAAATCTATTTGTATTCATGTACACTGATGATTTCTATCCGAATGATTCTTGTTCTGTTATGATATACATTGCGATACAGAAAAATAACCAATTTAGATCTTGGAATTCTTTTTTTACTTCTTTATCAATATGTATTACTGCTTAAGTATATTATCTCATCCTCCAGTCACTACTATTTTCTCTCTTTCCTCCTTCCTCCTTCTCTCACTTACTCACTCTCGTGTAAGTTAGATCACTGACTATAGATTAGATAGAAAAGATACTAAACACTTATGTATATATTACACGTCATTTTGTCAGAAAAGTTAATAATAACTCGTAATCAAATCTAAAATTTACTAATAAAAAATGAATTAAATTCCTTTCAATTGAATAAACCTGACAAATTAATAAGAATATATATATACAATATATACTGCCTATCTAATAATTCATTTTAAAATGATTACACTATTTCATCATGAACAGTGAAAGGATATTGTACGAGATCAGAGATTACTTGTAAAATAAGATTGGGAGAAAGCTGAGGTTGGCAATGTCAATACGTATAGGATTACTTGTTGATTAGTCTTATAGGTATCATCTTTGGCAGTAGCGAGATAGATATCTGATCGTCGATATCAAATGATAACTAAACTGCATTGAAGCCTCTTCTAACTTGTTATATGGCTGTGAGATATG